CTTCAAGGGCAGCTCCATGTAGAGCACATTGCAGTACTCCAGCCTAGGGGTCACAAGGGCACGAGTGACTGTTGTGAGAGCCATATTATAATATAACAATACATATTTATTTAAACCTTGTAGCAGATAAAGCAAATGCAAATTCACTTATTAGTTATTCTACTTTTCCAAAAGAGAATTAGACACTGAATGTATAAGTGTGCACCCATGAATGCCCCATTGAATTATGTATATCTATTTTTTTAACAATACTTACCTGCACTGATTATGGATTCTTTTTGGATGAATACTAATATAGGGTGATACTGTTTTATCTACATAGGATCCAAATCCAAGTTGCAAATCAATTGAGATATTTTCCATCTTCTGAGATAATTCAAATCCAACAGAGTTTAATCGTTCTATATGTCTGTGCATAGATGCAGATACATCAACTAAATAATAAAGATCAACAGGATATTTTTCCAGTGGGCGGACTTTCAGCATAAAACTTGCTTCAGAGCCTAATAATGCAAAAAAGCAGATCTACAATCAGTACTTCTGAACATTCACATTACTTTAAAATCAAATCCTATGCAGAATATTTTTCCAGTTTTACTAGTTTAATTTAGTTTAGCTTTTAAAACTGTAAGTATTAAGTATTAAGTGTATTTTACACACACACACACACACACACACACACACCTTTTCAAGCCATTCCATTTTCTATGCTTTTCTCATGATCTTACTGACAAAGAGGCAGTTTAGTTGAAAAATTATATAATTATACAGTGTGTATTACTAAGTATAACAATACTTTGGATTTCAGATATGTACAGGTAATCTTTGACTTTCAACAGTTCATTTAGTGACCGTTCAAAGTTACAAAGCCACTGAAAAAGTGACTTATACCCATTGCAGGGTCATGTGATCATCTTTTGTGACCTTCTGACAAATCAAAGGAGAAACAAGATCTACTTAACAACAGTGTCACTAACTTAACAACTGTAGTGATTTACTTAACCAAATGTTGTAAAATGGGGCAAAATTCACTTAATGAATGTCTCACTTGCAACATAAAATTTGGACTCAACTGTGGTCATAAGTCGAGGCTATGATCATAAACTGTATTTACAAAAACTTTCCAATCCTGAGTGAATGAAATGCCCTATCACAGAGATGGTTAATCTTTTTGGCACTGAGTGCCGAAACTGCCACGCGTGCATACACATCTGCTGGAATGCCGGAACACAGAAGAGAGCAGATGTCCAGTGTGCATGCGCAGGCCAGAACCCAGTTGCTCTCTTCTGGGTTCCGGAGTACACATGTGCACTGGTGAGCTGCTCAGGTAACCCTCACTGTTCTAAACAAAGCATCTACCAATGACAAAGTGATTCCTTTCATGCTAGCTTACGGTTTGTTTGTTTTTTCCTTATAAACTGGAATCAAGTGCTCTCTTTCTGGTACTGAAAGAAAACTGTATATGCAGGTGAAAATAACAAAATGTAGCTGAAATTACCATCCCTTAGTTATTAATTTTTTTGGGGAGGGGGTGTGAGGGTTTCACTGCAGCTCCAAAAGGAAAAAATACCCCTATTCTATTCCCTTTGTTCAATTATTTGCTAATGGAATATCATCTAGTGATATCATTCTCCTAAAATGCTAAAAGAAATGTCTCCCCCTTCTCCAAACAATTTACCTTAGAAGCAGTTCTTTTTCCAACAAAGGTGATTAAATTGACATATATTAAACTGTATTTAGAAGGACAAAAGTTGGGATTTCATTAGGATCATGATCCAATAAAAATGTTTGCATACCTTTCTTCTAGAAATAAAGCAGGAAAAAGACAAAGAAACAACCTGGCCAATACTAGTGAACAAAGGCTACCAATGCATAAATACAGAGAACAGTTCCTAAGGAAAACAAAGCACAAAAGAAAGCAAATTTGGATCAAAAGGTTATTCTAAGAAATAAGATATTTTATGATAGATTTCAACTTGATTATTTAAAAAAAAAACAAGATTTACTGGATGAAACAAATTTAATGTTAAACTTATTCAGTTTTAAAGTATATAAATTACTCTAGTATTAGGTGAAGAAATAATATTTTTGTTTCAAATTGTGAAATATCTGCATTTAACAATTCAGAATTGTGCATGAATCTATTTGTTGCTTTTAGCCCTTATTGGGAAGTTGGTATACACAAGTGGTGTACATACACACACAAAAAACCAGCATCATTTTGCCTAGCTCTGCCCCATTCAGGCATGTAATATTTCCATGGGCTAAGAAAAGAGCTGAACTTTGTGTCACAACACTGTGATTATGATGCTGTTACTGTGAACTACTTTTCCTCTTCTTCTGATGGTTCTATGTCTATTTAGATTCACTGTTATTTTTTCAAGTGCTTGGACTACTGCATGTGGCATGACATTAGCAATAGCAATAGCAATAGCAGTAGACTTATATACCGCTTCATAGGCCTTTCAGGCCTCTCTAAGCGGTTTACAGAGAGTCAGCATATTG